GCCGTCGCGCCGCGGCACCTGATGTTTCTTACGCCCAGCACACACCATCGCGCCACCTCCGCGCCGTGAAGGACGATACTGCCACGCTGCGCCTGTTGCCACGTCGCAAACTCCAGCTCTGCCGCGCCGTTGTGACTTCCCACGCTGTGAAGACCTGCTTTGTCGTGTCGTGTGACTGTTCCGACCCCGTCAGATCAGATGACTCCAGCGCCGCGGCGCATGGCGCGCCGCGGAAGTCCTCTACCGTCACGCCGTGTTGCCTCCTCACGCCGCGACAGACACAGCACACTGTCCTTCTCCACGCCGCCGCAGCACCTCGCGCCACGACACTAGGTCTTATCATTTCGCGAAGCACCAGCACGACGCGACGAATGTATATTTTTACGACGCGAATCCTTTCATGGCGCGACACTTCATGCATATATATATTCGACGCAGGCGAAAAGAAATTAACTCTGGACCGTGGGTGAAAGCCTAGGTCCCGAGAACACCACGAAAAAGCTCCCTCTTCTTCTTCTTCTCCCTTCTTCTTCTCCATTTTTCTTCTTCTTTTTATCTTTATTTTCCATTTTTCACCTAGATTTTGTTCATGCTCTTGGATGAAGCTTGTATCTCGGATTTGACATTTGAATTGAGATTAATTGTAAGAATTTCATTCTCTTATTTAATTCATGAATAATGATTAATTTGAGTAGAATGATTATGCTTGTTGAATTCATGTTACATAGCTGATTCTTTTTGCTAGGGATAGGGGAATGATTGTTCTCGTTTAACGTGCATTTGTTGGGTTTGAATTGTTCTTGCTTATGTGAGTTATTTTTATTCGGAATTGATGAATTTGAGCTTGATTGATTTATATAATCGAAGAGTGACACTTCGATCTTGCAATTGGTAACAATTGAATGTTGATTAGTCGAGTTAGGATTTGTTGATTCTATGTGATTAGTCGATTAATACTCTTCTAGTTAAATTAGCGACTTTTTGAACCGAAAGGGGAGAAGTCGTAGAAATAGGCTCACATGAGGTAGATGATTTCGTAATTGAATAGTCTATAGGTTTTCGGTTGAAATACGTGCGAGTCGATGACCCGTCCCTTGTTACGAAAAGTTATTGAGATTGGGATAGTTGGCCCGTATTGTGTGCTCGAGCTTGTACGTCTATGTTCAATCCCTTGTTACGAAGAGTTATTGGGAGTGAACCGCTAGATGTCTAAACGAGAGTGTCAATCTTGAACCGAACAATTGATTGCCCGGTTTTGCTAGAACGTGAATTAATTATCCCCGACTCCCTAGCTTCTTTTTCATTGTTCCGTTCGTATTTCTTAGGTAGATTATTATTTTTATGTTATTCCTTAGCTGATATTTCATCCATCCTTATTTGATTAGTATGTTTAGGATTTTCTTTGCTTTTATGTGTTATCGATATCAGAACTAAATTCCGAACCTCTTTCCTCGTTAGATTAACCCGGGGAATGAATCTTTCGATTCGGTACTCGATAAAAAAACAATTTGTGCAACAACAAATTTGGCGCTATTGCCGGGGAAGATATGTAGGATATTTGGTCTTGGTATTGATTTTATTTTCTGTGTTTCTCTTTATTTTGTATTTTCGAGTTTTAGTTCTTCCTTTTGTGCTTCTTTGTTTTCTTTTTGTCTATTTGTTTCTGGTTTGTTTGTTTTCTCTTTTTCGTGGCTACGTTGGGTTGTTTTCTTCTGTTGTGCAGGGATATGAAGTTCAATCACGACTATTCCTCCCCGCACTACCCCTCTTGGAACAGTGAGCCGAGTTATTGTGTCGGGTACTACACCCAATCACACCCATACTCTTCCGAGCAGTGCTGGAACTGATTTCCGGTCGAGCAGATGCATGAGTCCAACAAGTTTAACGAGAAGCTCGACCAGATTCTTGATTTTATAGAATCCAAAGTAGCTCGTGAAAAAGAGGCCACCTACAATAAAAAACTTGATTGGGTTCTCGCTCTTTTGCAATCTCAAGAAGCCCGTAGGAGCAATCTTGAGGGCGAGATCGCGAACTTAGTGGAGCACATTCAAGTTATAGAGGACCTTGTTTTCTATCCCGAGTCCATCATGCAAGACGAGTTTACATATATGGGTGAACTCCGAGAGGATACCTTGACGAGCGATGAAAAACTCGACCTCATCCTTGCTAGTGTGGCGGCCCAAGCAACTCGGCTAGAGCAGATTGAGGATGGATGTACCCGAATAGTGGACCAGCTCAATGGGATAATAAATCACATTCAATTCGTCAAGCCACGAGTCGATGAGACCTTGAGCACTAACTATCGGATTTACGAGGGCCAGACGGAAAAAGAGGAGGATGTGCTCCCAGCAGATGAGGGTGATATTTTGATGGAGGTAACTTCTGAGCCCGCATTCGAGAGTCCCTAATTTGAGCCGTCATGACCCATCGAGAATGGCCCAGTGGTCTTGTTATGCTCCACAGATGTTCTTATCTTTCCATTGGTTGACAATGGAGTTTCGTTGAAGAGAGCTCTAGGCCACTTCGTTACCCCACCTTGCTCCCATGCCCAGTTCCAAAAGAATATTGCTACCCGAGCCACCCGTGCCTGCCTTCTGGCCTTAGTGCCAGCACTGCCACTTCTCAAGAATACAAAGGTGTGGCACGATCGTCACTTCTTTCTGGACCCCGGATGAGTTCTTTTCAGGTTTCGTCAAGCTAATAACGTAAAACAAGCGCTTCTTGGGAGGCAACCCAAGTGATATTTATTGCTTTCTTGTTCATTTTCTCTTATGCCTTTTCTTTTATCTTTGAATAATGGGAGGTTTGGAGTTTGTGTGGTTTTTCTGGGCAGGACGTATCTATTGGGGATTGGAGCATGGGCGAAAGACTTGCATCGTGATGCTTTTTCTCATCGAGGAATATTCGGTTTGCACACCCTTTTCTCTTTCTGCTTTTTTTAGTCTGTCTTTTCCTTGAGTCAGTTGTTTTAAGTTTTGGGTTGGATCTAGTATTTGTCCATTATATGATATTGCTAAGTCTTTGTATTGACTTCCTAGTTTGTGTTGAAGCAATGAGGTCATTGCCTCATTCTAAGTGTGGGGGAGCTACTTGGACTTCGCATGCTTATGTGGTGATCCGGTCTAGTATCAAGGTCTTTTGTGTGTCTTGTGAGTATGGATATTGGTGAATTTTAAGTTTCGTTGATAACAGTTGATGAAGTTGAGGAGATGTGATGTTGATCATGATGGCATATTTCGATGAACTTGATTGGTCGAGTTGATTTGGCATTATACACCTTGTGAGGTTTGAGCCTTGTTTTGTTTTTGTAAGATTTGGTCGGAATTTTGTTGATCAAAATTTGCTTTGAGTCTGTTTTGAAATGAACCGATATAAGTTGTGGTTCGTGAAAATGATTGAGGCATTTCGTTGACATTGCTTGTTCTGGCCTTTTTCATTGACCCTCAAAGTTATATTGTCATGAGTAGCCCGTTGAGCCTTTAGCCATGTTCCTTGTCAACTGTTTTATTCGAAATATTTGAGATTTGACAGAATATTGTATGATGATGACGGAGCGTCTATATGTTTGAATGTGGTTGAACTTGGTTGAATTGCATTTGTAGTGCTTGACACAAAAAAAAAAATAAGTAAATAAATCGGGGAGTCGCAAGACGAATGGAGAGGATTCTACTCCTCTTACTTGTCGATTTATTTTGATGGGTAATGAGTATTGAGAAACCACCCCAAGACACTTGGATGACCTCCAATGTTTAAACCTGGGGAATGTCGTCCTTACGATTCGTTCTTGTTAAAAAAATAAAAAAAAAATCCCCTAGAAAAAATAAAAGAAAATTATTATCGTCAGGCATTTCATTTGCAATTATTCTTGAGCATGTACTAATGTGTATGGAATTTTGGTGGGGATTGATCAGTTTTGTGTTGATTATGGATAGGTGGCGAGATATTCGAGTAGTTATGTGCTCGAGAGTATGATTGTTCATGTTAGCCATTTTATCTCTATATTCGACCTTCCCTTACCCAAGTGCTTGCCTTGAGCCCAAAGTCCTCTTGATTTGCGAGTCCATGTGCTTTGATTGTTTTAGAGTATGAACTAGACAATAAGCAAGCTTATGTTGAAACTTGATTGCTGACCAATTTGAGTGCTTCCATTTCACATCCATGTCAGAAACTGAGTGAGGCATTATATATGATATTTCCATGCTTCAGAGTATGTCTTTTCAATGCGTATAATTTGAGTTGCAATTGAGATGTGTTTTATTGGTCTTTTGAATTCTCCTCGGCTAAGTCAATTAATTTGAAACTTTTCTTATTTGAAGCTATTATTCATGCTCGTTCTCTTGTGTTTTTTCTTTTCTTTTTGTTCGGGGCGAACAAAAGTTTAAGTGTGAAGGAGTTGTTTGTCCAATTTTTATTGCATTTTTCCTTGCTATTTTTCCATTCTTTTTCCCCCATTTAGGTCGTTTGGTCGAGTTTTAGTTTATTTTATGGATTATTTAGTGTTTTGCTTTATTTGAGTATTTCTTGTGTTTTTCGGTGTTTTTTCGGTTTTTCTTTGTTTATGGTGTGCAGGCTATAGGTTTCGAGAGGATTTATTTTTTTACGATTAATGTGTCGAACGAACATGATTAAAGAGGGTATTTCGATCGGAGTACGCAGAAACAAACATAATCGAATTCCGATATCGAACGAACCCGAACGACCCCGAAACGTGATGACATGCATGCGGTCCAAGCTCGTACTAGCCCCTCAGATGTTCACCGGCGCCGTGCAGCCGCCACATCTTGAACGAACGACCAGAATCACACCTCGCGCCGCTGCAGCCGCCGCACCGCGACACCTGATGTTTCCTACGCCCAGCACACCATTGCGCCACCTCCGCGCCGTGAAGGACGATGCTGTCACGCTGCGCCTGTTGCCACTCCGCGAACTCTACCTCTGCCGCGCCGCTGTGAAGACCTGCTTTTCCGCATCGCGTGACTGTCTCGACCCCGTCAGAGTAGATGACTCCAGCGCCGCGGCGCATGGCGCGCCGTAGAAGTCCTCTACCGTCACGCCGCGTTGCCTCCTCACGCTGCGACAGACATAGCACACCGTCCTTCTCCACGCCGCGGCAGCACCTCGCGCCGCGACATTAGGCCTCATCACGCCGCGAAGCACCGGCACGGCGCGACGACTGCATATTCTTACGACGCGACTCCCTTTCACAGCGCGACACTTCACGCATATATATATTCGACGCAGGCGAAAAGAAATTGACTCTGGACCGTGGGTGAAAACCCTAGGTCCTGAGAACACCACGAAAAAGCTCCCTCTTCTCCTTCTTCTCTCTTCTTCTTCTCCATTTTTCTTCTTCTTTTTATCTTTATTTTCCATTTTTCACCTAGATTTTGTTCATGCTCTTGGATGAAGCTTGTATCGGATTCGACATTTGAATTGAGATTAATCGTAAGAATTTCTCTTATTTAAGTCATCAATAATGATTAATTTGAGTAGAATGATTATGCGTGCTGAATTCATGTTACATAGCTGATTCTTTTTGCTAGGGATAGGGGAATGATTGTTCTCGTTTAACGTGCATTTGTCGGGCTTGAATTGTTCTTGCTTATGTAAGTTATTTTTATTAGGAATTGATGAATTTGAGCTTGATTGATTGATATAATCGAAGAGTGACACTTCGATCTTGCAATTGGTAACAATTGAATGTTGATTAGTCGAGTTAGGATTTGTTGATTCGATGTGATTAGTCGATTAATACTCTTATAGTTAAATTAGCGACTTTTTTAACCGAAAGGGGAGAAGTCGTAGAAATAGGCTCACATGAGTAGATGATTTCGTAATTGAATAGTCTATAGGTTTTCGGTTGAAATACGTGCGAGTCGATGACCCGTCCCTTGTTACGAAAAGTTATTGAGATTAGGATAGTTTGCCCGTATTGTGTGCTCGAGCTTGTACGTCTATGTTCAACCCCTTGTTACGAAGAGTTATTGGGAGTGAACCGCTAGATGTCTAAGCGAGAGTGTCAATCTTGAACCGAACAATTGATTGCCTGGTTTTGTTAGAACTTGAATTAATTATCCCCGACTCCCTAGCTTCTTTTTCATTGTTTTGTTCGTATTTCTTAAGTAGATTATTATTTTTATATTATTCCTTAGCTGATAATTCATCCATCCTTATTTGATTAGTATGTTTAGGATTTTCTTTACTTTTATGTGTTATCGATATTAGAACTAAATTCAGAACCGCCTTCCTCGTGAGATCGACCCGGGGAACGAATCTTTTGATTCGGTACTCGGTAAAAATAACAATTTGTGCAACAACAGGTGTTATGGATTAAGACCCATGGATTGGTCGATTGAATTTATGTTTATTGATGCCATGTTGATAATTCACATGATGATTTATTGACATGATGAGATTATTGATACACGTGATTGATGTAGAGTAACGTCATAAATGTTGATTTTGAAAATGACATTTGAATAAGCCATGAATTATTTCTTAAATCAAAGTGGGGCGTTACAAATGTGATTGGTGAAAATTATAACATTTTGTATGGTAAGAAAAAAAAAAGGTATAAGAAAAAAAAAAGGGAAATTTCATTGGAAGGCCTAACTTTTAGTATATGTATTAATTTAAGGCCTGAATTTTATACTTTTTCAATTGAAGGCTTACATTTTAGATTATTCTCACTTTAAAGCTTACTTTTTAGTCAACTTTTCATTATAAGGCCCAACTAACTTTACTTTTTCATATAAATATGTAAAACAACTATTATGTGAATAAAAAAATTATTATTATTATTATTTTGTAATTTATAGTTTACATATTTATAATAAAAAAATAATAAATATCTTTGGTAAAATTATATTAGTAAAAAATGAAACTATATAAATTACAATGATGTGAAACTATATAAATTATATTTATGCAAAAAATTTAACAATGAAAAATTACATCATTGAAAATAAATGTTTATATTGTTTTATTTTTTATTAATATAATTTTACTATCTTAGTTTCCCATTTGTAATTTATATAGTTTAATTTTTATTAATATAATTTTCCTAAACATATTTATTATTTTTTATTATGAGTATGTAAAATATAAATAATAGTAATAATAATAATAATAATAATAATAATAATAATAATAATAATAATAATAATAATAATAATAATAATAATAATAATAAAATTTTTATTCAAATAATAATTGTTTTACATATTTATTTGAAAAAGTAAAGTTAGTTGGGCCTTATAATGAAAAGTTAACTAAAATGTAAGCTTTAAAGTGAGAATAACCTAAAATGTAAACCTTCAATTGAAAAAATATAAAATTCAGACCTTATATTAATATATATACTAAAAATTAGGCCTTCCAAAAGAATTTCCCAAAAACATAAGAAAAACTAATAAAATAATGAAGAATGCTAAGTTGTAGTGGGGTGATGTTATAAGTTAATTTATTTTTGATTTATCTTAACAAAAGGGGGTTAAGTGGAGGAGGTATTAAGGGACAATGAGTGAATAGGGATTTATTTTAAGTAGGAAGGGAGATGGAAGTTAGAAAAGAGAATGAAATTTAATAATAAGTTGCCCTTCAACAAATTTAGGGATTTAGGGAGATGCTATGGTTTTGTTACGGAATCATTTCGTCGAGATTTGTAACTGTTATATCAATTATTCTCGATGATTACATGATCATCCAATAGTTATAAAATTCGACGAAATGATTTCGTACATGGAATGTAGCATTTCCCACAAATTTATTAATCTATATATGTTGCTCGCCTTAAGATATTCATTTGACGTCCCAAAAGCCAAAAAGCCTGCCCCATATATTGGGGAGAGGAGGCGAGGGAGATCAAAAAATAATAAAATAAATGTAGATTTTCCTCTCTTTTCTTTTCCCGTAAAAAGGAAAAGATCCAAGGAGAAACAAACAATCGATCAATCCCCAATCCAACCCCTTCCTCTAAATTATGCGTTTTTCATACCTCCTCACATCACCGCCCCATCCCACGACGGCCTCCTCCTCCTCCTCATCCACCGCAATCCTGCCGTCGCCGCCCCATCTATGAAATCGCATCACCACCACCATCTCCCAAATCCATTGCCACCCTCCCCATCTCCGTCACCGTCACCATCTCCGTCTCCGTCTCCGTCTCGGACGCCGCTCCTCTTCCCGGCGTTGTTCTCGTCGTCCTCCTTGGATCTGACCACGATCCTCTTCATCGCGGGCTTCCTCCTCCTCTCCCTCCTCTCCCTCTCATTCATAATCTACCTCCGCCTCAAATCCCGGCGTCTCCACCATCTGGAGAACTTCAATTCCCTGTGGACGGTCCGATTGCTGCTTGTCCTTCTCTCCGCGGCCTGGGCGGCCAACGAGATCCTTCGGTTGCCGGCGGTGAGGAGAGAGTATGTTTTATCCTGCAAACTTCACGTGATTCTCTCCCTGGGCCTCCTGGAGCCGAGTTTCCTGGTGACGCTGCTTTTCCTGGTGAATGTCTCCATTAAGAAGAAAAAGAAGAAGGGCATCTGCAGCTGCATGATGGCGTCCCTGGTGTGCTCCATGATGACGCTGGTGCAGGTGGTGTTGGTGCACTTGTACCCGGACAATGACGACCACACAATGCTCTGCACTTACCCCTTTCTCAGCTGCGTCCTCTTCGCGGGGTTTGCGGCGGTGTACGCGGTGGTGTTCCTGATTGCGTGCTGGCGGGTGATGGCCATTGTGATAAACAAGGGGATGAGGAGGCGGATTGGGTGTCTGGCCGCATCCGTAATCGTGGCCCTCTCCGTGCAGGTAGCATGCCTCAGTCTTTCTTGCCTCCTCCTGCCGGAGGACACCATTTATGGCTTCCTCGTGCTTGCCATGTTCCTCTTCGTCCTCGGGACTATGGCCATTGGGGACCTCATACTCGTCATTACTCCCATCACACACGCTCTACAGCTCAACCCCCCGCCCTTGTAGCCAAGCAAACCTCTTTTTTTTT